AGTACTGAAAGCCAGCACTTTGTATCTGAGGCTGGTGTCTGTTGTCAAGGTACCCTCACATAACGAATTCTCATTAACTCAATATTAATTATATAATCTGGGGTCATGAGTGAGAAGCCAGCAGCCGACCGACCAACCTACAAGGAATATGTACATGTATTCAGGGTATCAAGCTTATTAATGAATTATTCATATGCATTGATTGAAAGGGTTTGTGTTGCTTCTATACCAGCTCACGATCTCTCCCCTCTCTCCTGTGCAAAGAAAACCAGATGTTTGTTCTGTACAGTTCAATGAGCATACCAATGGCAAAAACAGGGCTGGGTGATCTATGCGTGCACATCCAGACAGTATTGTATGGTGATTCCACAGAGCCATGCACTTGACATCTATACACGCACATGCACTGTAATTAGAATTACCCGATCCCTTAGTTTGTTGTGAAGTCGTAGATTTTACACATATTAAATAATGACAATGATGAAATACATGTACACCCTTCATTTATATTCTAAATCTAGTAATGTACGTGTAGGTATACAGATACTGTATGTTGTCACATGCACGTAATGGAGAAGTGAAAGCTGTTCAATAACTTGCCTGCACTGTAAATGTGTTGTGCAATATATTGTAGCCTACCTGTCCACATGCAGTCAACACCATTGCCCAAAACACAATGGCACACATTCTACTAAAATTTAAACCTGCCCTAGTTTTAGGCTAATTGTGCTCAATATTGGGTATATTATAACATAGGAAATTAGTCTGAGATCTAATTTTCATTTTTGTTAAACATGATGGTAGACCAGGGGGACTTAATCTGGTGATCATTTCATGAAACCGTCAGAAGATTTAAGTATAACACGAGTATCAATGGGATGTCGGTGAAGTTGTACTTGACATACCTATTGAAAAACAACTATGAAAAGTCCAAATAAGACATTCCAATACATTTAGATATAAATATATGCAGAGTACAAAGTGTTGGAAGGTTTCAACTATATTGTATTATATCCTATTTAGAGAATACAGAAACATATTTTTTTTGGTGGGGGTGGAACAGGGGGGGGGGGGGAGTGAAGTTTTGTAAATCATTGAAGTTGGAGAATACAACATATTTAAAAGTACAAACAAATAGTATTTTAAAATGTGAATTTTGTAATACCATATTGAAACTGTTACTGTACATGTAAGTACCGGTACAAAAGAAAATTATTGATCTAGCAGGCTTAATTTGCATCATTTTGAAATTCCACAAAAACGCCACCTGTGATCTGTCCCCATTTCGCCAGTGGCAATGTTTAGGCCTATAGTACGCAAATGTAATGAATATTTAGTGTATGAAATATTCGGGGCAATAGTGCCCATATAACGATATTCACGGATTTTATTGCTTGGGAGGTTTCAACCATTAACTTCATAAAAAATGTAGGCTAAATCACATTACGCCTGGAAAGCCGATGCTGATCATGGCATGACATTCTGACATTGTCCGTGAATTTCTTATTTTTTTCCCTCAACCCTTGCATTCTTCTTTTCTTTCTACATTGTATACCTGTACATTTTCAATGATATTTTTGCCTCTTCATTCCGTGCACAAATTTAAGTCATATTACGAGATGTAAGCCTGCATGGCATACTGTACTTTAAAAGAAATGATTAAACTTTCATTTTGCATAGTGTACACACCCATTGTTAGCTCTTTGTTGAACTGAACTTGTGATCTTAAAATATGCATGTGTCGTCATTGTAGGAAGTCGTTTACTTACATTGACATTTAACTTCATGCAGTACATGTACCAGCGCATTTCTTAGAATTAGGGAAATGAGGGAAGTCATAGCTCAACGTGTTTAGTTAATCCATCCATGGCCCATGTTTAACGTGGGAATCTAGCATGGGGTAGCTAGGATCGATAGACTAAATATTAACTTTGTACATACATGTGTGCACATTCAGGTTGAATGTTTCATCCATGTTGTCGTGCATTTCTCGGGCATTTCCTAACATAATAAAACACTTATTCATTGTGTGCATTGACTAAATATATCCTGTATACATGTACAAACTAATGTCTACCTCATTTGCGACCCCCCACCTCCCCCCCAAAAATTAATGATAGAAAGCAACAAAAAATGATAATGCAATTATGCAACCTGTAGGTCTTAATTCATGTACATAACTAACCCACAAGTAATGAGATTATGCACTTCACTTTTTGAGACTCTTCGGTATAAGGCAGCACGCATTTATTATTTCATGTACCTATCAAATATGTATTATATCAGAAATTCTGTGTACCCACCTTGAGCATGTTAACTCTAAATAGTTTTACATGTAGGCCTATATATAGATGGCTATTGCTAACATGCTTTAAAAGTTCAAGCGACCTCTTCGCTATAATCGAACCCTTCCTCTTTTATGCTCCAGAGATTTGGACATGTGATGTGATACAGAAAAGCATGTAAAATCATCATCATCAGGTACCCCCTCACTCAATCCCTCTTCCCCTCCCCCTCCCCCACCCCTCCCCCTCTCACCCCACCCCTGAAAAAAGAAATGGCTGTAGGGTACATGTACAGTATTGCTTGCTGCATGTACACGTAGGATGTCGGTAAGCAAAATATCCAATTATAGTGTGTAGCGACTTGATGAGTAATGGATGGCGTTGTCAGGATGGGTCAGTGAGTCAAGTTGAGAAACAGACACAAAGTGGGATTACCCCCAGGCCACAAAAATGATATGGGATTAATTTCTGGAGAAATAAAGGGGTTCATACTTCAAAGAAGGACCGAGGACATGGGTTTTTCTTTAATCTGTAAATTTCTTTATAGATTTAACGTTTAACATTATTTATTAAAAAAAATGAAAAGAACTTAAAATTTAACTTCATTAGGACTTTTCCACTGTTTAATGGAGTTGGGTATCCCATACAATCATTTTAAAAGTACTTTTAAAATTGAAACAATATTCAATGAAAAAATGTATAAAATATAGGGATTATTTAAAGAGTGATATCATCCTGGAAATCTTAAAAATTGTCCTAAAGTGGAATTTGATTTTGTGTGTATTATAAGTTTGAAAAATCTCAAGTGAACAGAATAATGTAATGCTGATTCATAGCCTAGAGAGCTTGTAGCATTTGTACCTAACACAAACATCAAATCTACTTTATATTACATGTATATTTTAGTTTGTAAAAATTTGCCAATGTTTAAATGTGTTCTAAATATTCTTACTTGCAAACTTTCCATAATTAAAAAGAAATGTTGATTGTAATATTGGCACCCGTTCTGTAATTGCCACCTTACATCCTTATTTGATGACCTTCATGCTTCCTTCCCACTTTGATGTTTCAATTAAAGTCCTATTTTAAGCTCCTTTAGTGCATGATAAGCTACCTAATTTAGTTCTTTGCAAGTTATATGAATTTGCTCTATTTTAGAGGACCGATACAGCTATTACGCAAATTTGTAGAGATTTAATTTTGTCTCTTTCCTACAGCTGTAAAGGCTAATAGAGTGGTGAAGTGTGACGTCATAAAAATTTATTTTTAGAATTTCACAATTTTTTCTTCATATTCCGAAAGAACATCAAAAATAATGTCCAAATGTTGAAAAACATTTGAATATGTTTAGTATTGGCTGAGATATGACCATATGAATGAATATATGTCCTATGGGAACTCAGTGTTATATGCTCTGGCTCCTAACCATTAGGAGCCAGAGCATACATGTATAACACTGAGTTCCTATGGGGAGTATATTTATTCAGATGGTCATATCTCAGCCAATGCCTAACATATTCACTTGGTTTTCGACATTTGGAAATTATTTTTGATGTTCTTTCGGAATATGAAGGAAAAATTGAGAAATTCTAAAAATAGATTTTTATGACCTCACAGCTTCGGTACTCTATGAGTCTTTAAAGTACATGTAGTCAACAATGTAATTTTATGTTGAGACAATGAGGGGGGAAATCGGTTTGTACATCTAATAAGCATCAAGTGTGAAGGACAAAGACCAACATCTTGAAACCCCAGGAAAGGGTCGTGAATAAATCATATCCAATGTTGATTAAATCATTGAATGTGGTCTTTTTTGAAAAGAAAAGAAAAGAAAAGAAAAGAAATTCTTTCTTTTAAACTTTTTGAAGTTTGAAAAGGAGACACCTTGGGAGTATATATTATTAACAATTAAAGCACTTAAAAAGAATCCATCTGTGATAATATTCTACACAGTGTCAACTTCCAAAGAGCACTCATGTGATTTATTGCTAGCATTTTCTAAACATCCTCAAAATGAAAAAGAGGTTACCTGATTCCCAATTCCCCTGTATAAATATGTTTATTCTATTATATTTATATTCATGATGTACTTCCTGAGCAACAGTTAATTTTTGTATCAGGTTCTTGATGGACTTTCCACCCCACTTCCTATATGTACAAATACTTTCTGAGAAATATGGGAAGTTCAATATTTTTTGTTTGATTTAAACATTGCCTTTGTAAAAATACTTTAAACTAGTAATGTAAGTGTAAATGTACAGTACAAGACTAAGAGGACTTTCTGGTCTCTGCTTTTGTCATAGAAAAGAGTTGATGAAAATAGTTTTATCTGTACACATAGAAAATGTACTTTCTACTCACAATTCATGTACATTCACATTCACTAATATTCTAACTGACATTCTGTTTTTGATATAACTTTTTTGGTGCATGCTCATGGGCTGTTCATACACTTCAATATAATTCTTCATTTATGCTACTCAGCATGTTATTTCTACATGTATAGCATCTAACCTCATTCTAATCCATGTTCCCCTGGTGTACAGCTTATCACATTTCTCCCTGAAGCTGTTCTTTCTATTTATGATACTTTCCTATATGTACATGTAGATACAATAATGCATATCACTTCTTTCTGTTAAGTGTGGTAATTGACCCTTGGTTCTTCTCTCTCTTTCTCTCCTTTTTTGTGTTCCTCTTTTTTAACTTTCAAAGTGTATAATGGCCACACAAGCTTCATGAACCCGCCCATAGTCAAGGCCAGTCATATCATTCTGAGACATCCTATTTACTCATTCTTTTTTCATCTATCGCCAGAGTCCAACTAACCGAGGTATGTTTTCTCTCTCTGTCATCTATATGTATGTGTTGCGTTGACTCATCTTGTTTCTCCATTCTCATACTGCTTCAATTTCAAATGCTCTAATTTACTTCATTTGGGACTATCTTCCTGTGTATTTTCTTTGTGATGTCTCGTGCTAAGTAAAATGTGATATACACTGTACATTGTATATCCTGCTTATGCAGTAGATCATATCTAAATTAGAAAGCTATAATGATTAGAAATTAGAATTGTATACTTCTAACCATTGTTGATAGCTGCATGTGTCTATAGTATCAGTTTCATCATGATATAGACGCAGATTACATAATTATACTAATAGATACCGGTTGCATACATGTACATGTACATGTAGTTCAACGTGAAAGTGAAAAGTTACAGGAGACTCTGCATGGGTACAAGGAACCACAAGAAATGTAGGAATATGTCAAAATGAAAAGAAAAGTTTGTCTATTAAAGCATACAAATGTACATGTATGCGTGAAAGTGATGCAGGGATCATTTATGTTTCATCTCCCAAAGTGGGCATGGCAACGTTCCATTATCATTGTGAGTTGATTTAGCAGAAAGTGATCATTTAGTGTTTAATACACAGTAACCACTTAAGTGTTTCTGCTCCATTACATTGCTTGATGTTTAACACGTTTTCTCTCTTCTCTCCACAGTGGATTATGGCAACACAGAGTTTTGTGAATGAAATGCAGACCGTACATGTATCTGGTACAGCACAGCAAGCACAGCACCAACCTGCACAGACAACCATCATCGCAACACAGCCAGTCTCCGCCCACTCCATCCAGCCCACCTCGCACACCATCCAATCAAATCAACAGTTCCTGCAATTAGCAAGTTAGTAAAAACCCAGGCCCTCAGTGTTTCATGAGCCTTTTATAACTACAGTTGCATTTCTGTATCAAATTTTCTCACAGCCAATCATTTACAATGAATTCAGTAGCTTCTAACAGTTCCTGTAAGTTGTTATTGGTATCAGGATTTATGAATCAGTGCCCTAATCTAGTTCAAGGTACAGAGATGTACATGTAGGTGTAGATTCCATCTTTAGAATAGATGTATTGCAGAGAAGAGGGAAAATGTAACATTTATTTGAATGTGTAATTTAGTCTTCTAAAATTTCACATCAAGTTTATAGACCCATATATCCATCAGGGTGATACACCTTTATTGCATGAAAGTATGATCATGCATTTAAACACCCTGGTTGTCATGGCAAAAGGCTGGATGTAGTAACACTGCCCTCATATCAGCCAAATTGGAAAGGTGCTTGATTATATGAATCAAACTGCATTGTGCTCAACGTCAACAAAATTAGTGTTATGTTTTGGCTGTGTTCCAAGTAATATTAAGTCAATTAAGTCATGAAATTCATCAGTACGGTAATGTAAACAAGTAATTAAAATGTACTTTTTTATGTAAATGCCGTTTTTATGGCTAATTTTATGAATATGCAGTCGTTAATATAGAAAGTGGTAGCCAGAGAAAATAGATTGCAGTTATACTCTTCTTAGATCATTCTCTCATATGTTCTCTCTAGAAGATATGCACTATTCACTCCGTCTTTTGTATCTCTCTCATCTCTCTTGACTACTTGCTCGCTCTCTCTCTCTCTCTCTCACTCGCTGTATTCCTTATAGCAGAAGTGATGGACACGCCAAGCTCCGGCACCACGGTGACCCTGCAGACGACCCCGTCCGGTGTCCAGCAGACGCGGCAGCCCACCGTCTATCAAGGACAACTGCAGTACGTACAGGGGCCCGATCACCGACACACCAATTCCATCTATGCTAACGGCGCTATGTGAGCTCATTCAAAACAAACCAATATAGATGTGTGATGAATCTTGTCTGCACTAGTTTTTTTTTTTTTTAATAACTTTTTTTCCTTCAACTTCAGTTCTTCTCTCTGATTTCAGTTTGCCCTTTTTACTCGAGCATTGCTAGAATGTGTGAATCTTACATTTTATTTTGTATTTTCATCTCTTATCAATTCTGCTCTTATTTTTCTTGCCTTGCAATGCAGTGCACTTATAATTTTCTTTCTTTTGAACCAAATTTTTGTTTGTCGTAACTCACATCACACACTTGAATTTGAAATGAGCTCATAAAGTGAATTTTTAGATCCATGTGCTCTGTGTCCATTAAGGATATAGAAACATGGATCATTTTACAAGGGGTCTTCTAAATAACCAATTTCCACCCTTCTCACATTGCAACAAATCATGTCTTCCAACTTAAAAAAAAGTATATGACTGTATGCAGTAGATAATTATGTATATTTCTCCTCAAATTCATATTGTGCATAAGTACCCGCATTTTAACTAGTATTGGTTCCAAAACTAAACGTTGATCAGTTAAGTCTGTCTAATTCTAAATGACTGAAAAACTTTTGTCTCCTATTAGAAATTTATGATTTTGTAATTTATTTATTTTTTGCCATTATTTTACGGGACGTGTCAATGTTTATATTATATTTAGAGCTATTCAAGTCCATTTGCACCCATTGTCTGTTTTCTTTGTCGTACTAACTCGCATGATTAATGTTATCCATGTCAATGTGCACGTGCATGTTTTACTATTTTGGAAAGCAATCCCAAATTTGTATTTATTATATGTTAAGGAAAATTACTTTCATATCAACTTTTTGCACAAGCAAAGGAAATTTTTAAAATTAGATGAGCATATATATCGCTCCCCAAACTTGGGAAGTCTTCAAATAACTTTTTAATTTCCCAAAACTTGGATGTTCTTTAAATGTTTCCATTTTAAAATGCTGCATTTTATAAATAGCTACATTTTTGGCATCTACATGTAAGTAACTTGGACTCTAGTTTTGACCGGAAAAAAATATTCCACCCACATTATCGTCAAGCACATTCATGCACTTGTAGAGTACATGTGTTTTGTGTTATTTATGTTTTCATTCTTCAATAAATAAATCATATTCTATTTGTCTTCATGTCAATCAAATACAATTGCATTAATAAAACTCACCCATACTAATTATTAATTTAAACAAAACCCTCAATTCCAATGGAAATTATTTCAAGGAATGATCTTTGAAGAGTAGATATCTACATGTAGCTGTAAAAAAAATGGGGGGGGGGGGGAGGGGGAGTATTGTATTCTTTGATGAACGGAAAAATGAATTATGGCATGTTTGAAATAGCTAGGGCACCTGTTTTCAGAATAAATGGCTGCATGAGGGTCATCAATAGTTGGAAGAATTTTAGTGAGTCTAAATGTTATCGCCCATTCAGACATACAGCATATAATAGGCAATTATTTTGGTGCATAATTGAATGGAGAAAGAAAGAAAGGAAATAAAGCCAACAGGAGCTTGCATTGAGGTAAAAAGACTTGAAGCATGTCTATATATCATAGCATGTCTTTTCCCCTGATTGAGTTTGCAAATTAGAGACTCCTTTATATTATTACCATTTTAATTCATGTGAGACAGTTTTGTTATTAATATTTTGTTTTTAAAACATTTGAAAATGTAAAGAGGAGCAAAAATGATGCATGAGACTGTGAGACGCAATGGTCTGAATATACAATTTTTAACCTGACCCTTTTCGTTTTATTGTGGATAGCGTTATTATTATCATTTACTTACAAAGAGCATGAAGTTCCTTAGACTCGATGTTCAATATGAATGATATGACCAGCTTCCCTTTTTGAGGAATGACTGCTTGAAAGAGTTTGATGAAGGTTCTTAGTGTATGTACGTATCCCAGGTGAATGCTCCCTGTTATCTAAGATCGCATGGGTGTGTCTCCCATAACCTACCTGGTGATGGTGGTATATAACCAAGAGGGCGCTATATAGGCCCAGGTTCAAGGTGTAGAGGTCATTGGTATTCATAACAAAACTACTAAATAACTAATCCCGTGTGTCTTTCCTCCACCCATTTACACCACCTTCCTCCCATGCTGCGTTGCGTCCCCATCGCTTCATCCTCCTCACCTTGCTGTCTTGTATCCTCTTGTGTCCTGTCATCTCATCACCTCGTGGGGGCGCTGTTCTCTTATAAAATAACCATGTGTGGTGTGCTGTGTTCATACTACTCCAACTACCATCGCTACCAACCAACTCTAAAACAAACTGACGAAACAGGACCAACCCCTATCCTTACAGTGAAGCCGCCACCATGTACCAGGCAACCCCGGTTAATTACTTTGGTCAGGGTGGGGTCTCGTCCGCCAATCTCCAGACGCTGGGGTCGCAGAACACCGTCACGGGAGTGATGGGTGGGACCCTGGTCGGAGGGTCGGTCATCGGGGGCTCGGTTCTAGGAGGTTCCCAGCTCATCGCTCAGCCTGGAAGGACCTACCTGGTGCAAGGGCACAGCATAGATGGTGATGGTCACCCCATTACACACACTACAAGGGCATCTCCAGCTACAGTGAGTTTACATCTCTGAGAAATGTTTCAAGGTTTTCTATTTTTTTCTTTAGCCATTCCAGAACTAAACCAAAACAAATGACTACAATTTATGTATGTGCCCTTCTGTGGGGACATGACAAGTTTAGCCCATGTTACATAGACATTCATGAAGTTCACATGTGTGCTAGAGTTTGAAGATGTTTAAAATCTTAATTCTTTTGCAAAATTCCTGTAGCATAGTTCTAGCCAGCTTTGTGGCTTGCCTCTGGGCAGTGAACAGTACTCTTTCTCTTTTTCTCTTTCACCATTATGTCCCTACCTCACTGGCTCAACAGGTTCAATGGTTGCTGGATAACTACGAGACGGCGGAAGGGGTCAGTCTACCCCGTAGCACCCTGTACAACCACTACCTGAGGCACTGTCAGGAACACAAGCTAGACCCGGTGAACGCTGCGTCGTTTGGTAAACTGATTCGATCGGTGTTCTTGGGACTCCGCACAAGGAGGTTAGGCACAAGGTGAGTCTTCATCGTGTTCCTGGGACCCGTTTCACAAAGCCTCTTTTCAATGACAAATCTGCTGATATCCAATCAGAAGCAAGGATTTCAGTAACTTATAACGAAAAGCTGTCATTTGTCACTTGATGACAAGTTTTGTGAAACGCCCCCCTGATGTCCATTGCAGGTTGTACAGCATATGATTTGTCAAACTACCTGCAAAAAGCTCTTATGGCCTTCATGGTCTTATTTCAGGGAGCAGCGAATTCTTTCTTTTTTTGGCGAAATGTTACCTGTATATTTGTCAAGTACAGGGGGGCGTTTCACAAAGTCTAAGATCGGCTTTAAGTTGGACTTAACTATGGCAGGCCATTCATGCTGCTGGTTGCTCTTACCATAATGATCTTTAGATATATTTTGATAAGGAATTATTGAAGAATGGTAAATTCTGTAGATTTGTGACCATGATCTGTACATTACGTCCTTTGAGAGACCAATGCCAGTAAATGGTGAGAGCAAACAGCTGCATAAACGGCCTGCCATAGTTAAGTCCAACTTAAAGTCGATCTTTATCTTTGTGAAACGTCCCTTGGTATAGTAATTTCTCACTTTGTGTGAGATTTGCAGACATGTGCATGAAGGGTTGTCAAAGCATTTATTCTTGAGCCCATGTATCCTGTCTCTGGTTTCTTGTCTGATGTTGCATTGCACTTGTGCATACAGAAACAGAGAACAGCATAGAGCCCAGTTCCATTTGCATAAAATGATCAACTTTTTACATTTTCCTCTGTATAAATGTAACTGTAATGTAATTTGTTATTCTTTGCACTTTTTCATCCGAACCAAGGTATTTCCTTGTTTCTAATAGTGTACCAGTAGTTTAAAACTTTTTACCATTCCATTTATTTTTTCTGTCTAAATCAAGGGGAAATTCAAAGTACCACTACTATGGTATCCGCATCAAGAGCACATCATCATTAAATCAGTTCCAAGACGACAGTGGACATACAGCCATGAGACAACAGCCCATCAACTCAGCGAAAAGGTAATGTACATGTACTTTGTCAGTTAAAGGGAGTGGGTCGTCAGTTTCCACGTGCAGAAGGCCATAATCTGCTGACTCTAGACTTGGCGGAAATACCTTTAATGGGTGTACAAGTTTTGCAGTCTCTGCACACAACAAACCTGGAGTCCAATCAAGAAAAAAAAACCTAATCTCGCGGAGAGTCTTTCGGTGACGCAAAAGCAAAGCATAAGGCCTGTTGGTCATGAAACTGAAGGCAAATCCTGGTGATTGACAACACCTTTTATTGGGTAAACACCCGAACAATGTAGAATTCCCCATGAGGGCCTACCCCTATGCGCCTTTAACACATTTAGCAAGTTGATGTACATAGTTTGTTCGCTTATCAATGAATGTCCTGAAGGTTAAAAAACAATTAATGGAAAATTAAGTTTCTTGAAAAGATTGTTATCATCTAAAGATGTAGAAATTGTCATAGGCCGACCGTTCCGCAATCTATAGTTAATGCTGAATACTGTCCAGCTTCTTTGATTATCATTCCAAAAGTTTAATTCATACAGGTGAAAATGTTGTAGATCTTGACATGTCCCGTAAAATAACAAACCCTTTTTTTTTCTTCAGGTAAGCCCTCTCTTGATGCTAGTTTCATGGGGTGGTATTCCGGTAGCGCGTACTAAGTTAGCGCGTACTTAGTTAGTTCACACTTTTATGGAGTGCCTGTTGCAAACTAATTTACCCTGTACAGATTATTTTAATCCTTCAATGAAAAGTGTCCAAAAAATTAATTTTGCAATGAAATGGGAAGAAAAAGATAATATGAGTATGAACTGAATTTCAACGAAGTTTTTTGTCAATTATCTTTGTCATGAATATTGAAGGAGGAAGATGAAACCTAGCATTCCATAGAAGTGTGAACTAAAATTCTTGTTTAGTCTGGACTTAGTCCGGGCTTAACTTATGAGAATACCACCCATGGACTTGTTTAAGCTAGAGCTGAAGCATATGCCACTTTATAACACTAGTAAAAACAGTATTTCATCCATTAAAAAATGGTATAATGTAAAAGATTCCTTCTCTATGTTATATGAGAAAGATTTAAATCATGTCAGTGGTGTTAATGACTAAGTGAATATTCCTCTCCAGGTTCAAGCCTTCCCCCATGGGTGGCAAACCAGAGGACGGCAGCCCCAACGCCGGAGGGGCCGGGGGCAACTCTGGGGACCACGTCCCATCACAAACCCAGCAGCACCAGCAGTTCTTGGGCGACTCCACGCAGGTCCTGCCAGAGTTCAAGGAACTCATTGTGGAAACGGACCTCTTGCCCGAGGGATTGGATTCAGAGGATGTTGAAGTCTTTCAGTCTTTATATCGTGAACATTGTGAGGTGAGTAGTGTCAACGGTTCTTCCAGGGGAGTGTTTCACAAAGACTAAGATCGACTGCAAGTTGGACTTAATGTAGCAGGCCGTTCATTCCACTTCCTATATTAAACCATTCCTGGCATTGGTTTGTCAAGGGGCGTACAAATCGTCACAAATCTACAGAATTTACCTTTTTTGATAGTTCATTATTGAAGGAAAAAATATTATCTAAAGATCATAATTGAGAGACCAGTGGCATAAATTGCCTGCCATAGTTAAGTCTAACTTAAAGTTGATCTTAGTCTTTGTGAAACACTCCCCAGGTCTGTATGTATGTCTTGCATAATGTAATTCAATTTATGGGAGGGTGGAGCATTCCAGGTCAAACATTCTAGAATTTTACTGTAGACTTCCCCTGAATTTCAACTGAAAAAACAAACTCCTGAAAAGAAATTCAACAGTTTGAATGACATGCTTTGAAAACACTTTTTATCTTATCTTAGCCTTCATGTTTATCCCTCTAGCACCAAGGTCCTAGGGCCTGTTTCACAAAGCCTTTTTTTCAATGACAAATGTAAATAAATCAGTGAAAAATCTGTTGATAACCAATCAGAAGCAAGGATTTTAGTAGCTTACAACAAAAACTGTCCTTTGTCACTGATGACAAGTTTTGTGAAACACCCCCCTGTAGGTATTTATTGTGATGTGTCCTAAAAATCTTTATTAATGTAAGTGTAGTGAAGAATTTAATTTCTTCTTTCAGTTGCCAAAAGTCTGCACCCGCTTAAAGAATATTTAATATATTGTACAGGGAGTTGTTTGAAATGCACTTCTAATCGGTATAAACTTTTGTTTCTATTTCAGTCGATACTTGATGTAGTAGTCAACCTACAGTTTCCTCTTATCGAGCAGCTATGGCAAACATTCTGGAGATGTCCGCCCCCAGATGTACCATTGTGAGTATCATTTGAAATGATGTTGAAATAAGGGTGGAATAACATTGAATGCAAAGTCTGTTACATTTGTCACATGGTATTATAGTTATAATAGGATTAGTGTACGAAAAGGAAAGTGTCATATGATGGCAGATGAAGTGGAGGGGTGAAACTGTTTCATAGGTAATTCCTAATTAATATGTTTAAAATCAGTGTATAGAACATTGATCTTTCTAGGATGAAACGATGTTTTGACTTCTCTGAATTTTAATTCAACACAATTGTTGTCTCCTCTATGGACTTACCAAAATAGAATTACACACTTGCCCAAAGAGTCGCCTTGTTCGGAACTCAAATTTATTTTCAAAGTGGCCTAAAGTATATATATATGTGCATTTTCATTCTATTCCAATGCGTATTTTGATAATTCTGCTAAGAAATGTTTATTTATTCATCCATTTATTTTTCTGTACATTCTTTATTGCAGAGACGAAGAGCAAGAAAAGCAGCTAGATAAGGATAAACTCTTTGCCCTGTGTAAACTGGTCCCTATCCAGACCTACATCAAACACTATGATCACATCCTTTACCAAGGGCTTGTTGAGGTGTTAATTCCAGATGTCCTTAGACCCATCCCCAGTAAGTATCATGAAACAGAGACTAGCTCAGATGGTTGCTATCAGTATGCAGAGCTGCCAACCAGTTCAATTTAATCGTATTTTGTGTAATGGCTAAATGCACATTCTGTTCAGCAATTTGGGGATGTTCATTGGTTCATCGAACACACCAGTCATGACGAAATCGTGCATATTCAACCAATGATCCATACAAAAAATTCTTCCTGCATGTAGGAACTGTAAGAGGCATTGATCGATGTTTTTTTTTTTTAAATACAACTTTTGTCATTAAAGTACAACTTTTGGGATTAAAGAATAGAGTTTTTGAACTCCAGAGGTTGGCAGGTCTGAGTATATGACTTACAGGTTGTTTTCTTTCTGAGTATTTAAAAAAAACTTTAACAGTTTGCATTAAAGAAAAGTGAAAAGAGTTTTTTTTGCAAAGAAAGAGAAAAAGAAAGTCCTGCAAATTTGTACAAGTGCAAGTACTTTTGAGAAATCTGGATTTTCTTGAGGCTAACCAAACACATGTTTCAAATTGGAAGTTCTTTCATTTTCATACATGTATGAAAGCAAATGAAGCAAAAGAATGCTTCCCACCAAATACTTCCTTTTTGCAGTTCTCAGCCCTTATTGTTGTCAGTTAAAATTGATACATCTTGAAGCGATTACATGTGTTTATTTCATTTTATTGCCACCTCAGACTGGTTTAGAAGTGGTTTTGTTTGGTTTAAAAGGGTTAGGTAACTTTGCCTCAGATTAAAAAAAAAAATCCTGGATGAAGCTCATGCTGCAATCATAATTATAAACTTTTAGATCATACATGGATCCCATGACTTTTACAAGCCAATCACCTGTCTGATTATCAAGATATCTATGATTGAAATTAGAAATTTCAAAAACTGTTTCCCCCAACAGCCTTTATAACACTATAGTCTATTGGGGAAAATAAGTATGGTAAAACCGGTCACTCAAAGAATTTTACTTTTTTCAGGCTCCTCATGATCATTTTGAAGTGCAATTATTTTAAGGCTTCAATATGACACCATATCACAGACACTGATAACACATAGGGCCATGCATCTCAGATTTGTAAAACTGGAAACATTGTTAAACAATGCCTTTCAAATTGATTCATCTTGAAGCGATTACATGTGTTTATTTCACTTTATTGCCACCTCAGGCTGGTTTAGAAGTGGTTTTGTTTGGTTTAACAGATGTTCTATTGTTTTTTTTAAAGGTGCCTTGACTCAAGCTATCAGAAATTTTGCCAAGAGCTTAGAGAGCTGGCTAAGGAATAGCATGAGCAACTGTCCCGCAGAGATGCTTAGTCTAAAGGTAACAACACCATTCTCTAATTTCTCGATATATATGTCATGGTTGGTGCCCCTTTAGGAGCTCCTAACCCTATGTTTTTATATTTCCATGAATTATTGTATATGTATTTTCATGGTTAAAATAAATTGAATTTAATTGAATTGATTCTATAATGCCCTTTTTATTATTTCTTTCACACTATGCAAATGCTGTAGACTGGATGAAGTTCTTAAAATTCAGTCTTGATGACATTCAGTTTAAAAAAAGAACAACAATCTTATGACTATGTACTAATTGTTAGTTTTGTTGTCGAGTTCACATTTCTTTGTCAACATATCTCAGGTCAAGTATTGAGAAATGCATAATCGTTATGTGGCCATGCAGGGTTTAATAGTGAAATGCACGAGGTCCCACAGTACTGTATGACTTAAAAACCGGGTGAAAGTGGAAGACTTGGTTGCCTGCCTATTATATGAGAAAGGGAGTGTTTGGTATAGGATAGACCAACAACTTGAAACCAAGTATGTTAAAGTAGTCACCCGAAGAATCAAAAGTGTTTCGAATTGATGCAAGATTCATACCATTGGGAAGGGGAAGCCTTAATGATAAAAAATTAAAAATTCCCTTTTCAAAGTATGTTTTGGGCCAGCAGTAATCATCTCTTAAAGATGTTAATTTTGAGATCCAGGTTTTCTGCCTTCAGCGGTCTTCTGTAAAGCGTTTTGTGATGCCACATGCGAGACACAGCTAGCCATAAAATTACAGTTTATGCCTTTTCATGATATCTATATGATTTTTCAGCAAATTATTTGTTTTTTTCAAAAGAAAATCTTTCCCTCCATATATATATATGTTTGTCCATAATTATCAGTTGTCATTAATTTTCTTTGGGTGCCTACTTTAAGTACAATTGAATCCTTGACAATGTATAATTGATACTACCGGTAACTCATGGAATTTTTGATTATCATCGCCTCCTGATAGGTTGGAGCTGTGACGGCCTTTGCCCAGACCCTCCGTCGGTATACCTCCCTCAACCATCTGGCCCAGGCTGCAAGGGCTGTCCTGCAGAACACGTCACAGATCAATCAGATGCTCAGTGATCTCAACAGGGTAGACTTTGCAAATGTTCAGGTAAGGAGAACAAACCAAGTGAATATATCAAGTTTATTTGTATCAAGTTTATTCATTGTGAATAAAGAAAAGTAAAAAAAGGGTCTACATCGTTCCTGGGGAAAACAAAACTTTTAAACAAACTCAAAAAATGTTAAATTTGTAGATTTGTCACCACGTTTTGTACGTCCCTTGAGAAACCAATGCCAGAAATGGTTGGAGAACTAGTGGCATGAAAGGCCTGCTATGGGGCGTTGCAAGAAAGTTGCCATCTATTGCAAATCCCCCAAATCAAGCGTAAGTCTTGCGATTAACTGCAAGCTTGCGATTGATCGCAACTCAACTTTCTTGCAAGCCCCATTAGTAAAAGAGAGAGGGAGGGGAGGGGAGGGGGGGGGGGGAGAATAAAAACTAGATTTAGTTAACTTAATTTTATTGTTAAAACTCTAATCCTAACAAAATCCTAGGAAATTTAGGAGACTAGTGGGGCGTTGCAAGAAAGTGGAGTTGCAATCGATTGCAATATCAGTTGCAACTTGCAATCAATCTCAACTTTCTTGCAATGCCCCATAAGTCTTTGTTAAACACCCCCCAGGGCTGACATGAAACGGCACAAGCTCATAGTATGGTACATATAGATACTGTGCAATCCAGATGATTACACTATCGTTATTACTGTTTTGACAGGAGCAAGCATCATGGGTATGCCAGTGCGACGATGCCGTGGTCCAGCAGCTGGAGCAGGACTTCAAGAGGACGCTACAGCAGCAGAACTCCCTGGAGCAGTGGGCGGCATGGCTCAAGGGTGTGGTCACCCAGATACTGGAACCCCACGAAGGCTCGCCGTACTTTGCCAAGGCAGCTCGACAGTTTCTTCTCAAGTGGTCTTTCTACAGGTAAGGAGAAACAGAAGATTGCAAAGGGCCCGTTTCTCGAAACCATCTTAAGTCTCAAGTTCGTAGACATCCCATAGATACGCATGTTAATCTTATAATAAACGTTTCAATGGGTTGTCCAAGAAGTGATACCCATGGCGGTTTCGAGACACGGGCCCCAGGCCTCCACAGAGTTGAAGCATAAAGAATAAATTAGGGAATGATTCAAATATGCTGTTAGTTTTCAGAGAGAAAAATTCTTGGCTGCTTTTCACTTATCTGCATTTACATTTTATTTTATAATTACTGATACTGCAAAGCCGATGCAGGATGGACAAAGAAAAGTAGATACTCTTTCAACTTGATGAATGATACCGATTCAGGCCTTAAATTTCAATATTTTTAGGGCAAGGCCACTTTTCTGTAGGGCACATTCCTATATTACAGCACAAATAGGAAGAATTGGAAAGGGCACACAAAATCTCCAAGGCCAATGAGAGGGGCATTGAGGCCAATCAACAGGGCATCCAGGGCCATGGCCTTGGTGGCCTTGGATTAATTTAAGCCCTGCCGATTTAGCGTAAAGTTATCAGAGACATTGTTTTAGGGGATATTCTTGAAATATTTGGGGTTTACAGTGTAACATAAATCATCCTAGATGATAAAGTTTAGCCTTGAAAATGTTTAGTGTACAACATACTTCCTTTGGTAATAATACCACAGTGAATTTACAGAATTATGAGGAAAAAAAAAACACACATAAAGACTAGCGAAAGTACAAGGCATCTAGCTGGACTTTATAATAGCCTGTTGCGTATACTTATTCTTCCTCCAGTTAGAATCTTATATGCTTATGTAAGTCTCTGCATGTTTTTTGTCCTTCCTTGCAGCTCAATGGTGATCCGTGACCTGACATTGCGGAGTGCAGCTAGCTTTGGGTCCTTCCATCTGATCCGTCTGCTGTATGACGAGTACATGTTCTATCTGATCGAGCACAAAGTGGCCTCAGCAACGGGAGAGACGCCCATTGCTGTCATGGGTAAGCAGCTGCATGTGCTTAAAGATAAAGACCAGTTCTGGTCATGCAATTGCATTGTGAAAGAAACGTGGAATCGATCAGAAAAGGTTGATCATCTAGCATATAAGTATTGGTGTGTATTGCAAGGTTCTGGAATCATCAAAATGATAAGAAATTTGGCCCAGTCTTGGTAAAGTTACAAGCACTGTACACAGAAAGATGTATATGGGACTTCGCACACGTACGCGACACATGCATGTTATCTATTTGGTCCCAATAGATAAACTAATTTACCAAATATATCAATTAGTAGGCAGTTTCCCGGCAAAATTGTTATCATCATGTATTAGTCAAAACATATTCTTTCACATGATTGGTAATAAGAGCTTCCATTCCATTTTTGAGAGGGGGGCGTTTCCAGAACTGGTCTATACCTTTAATCATGATTACCATCTAATCAGAAGCACTGGTGTTTTATGATGCCAGCTAAAAAGACAGTTCTGGATGAAATTATTAAGATCACCTCAATGGATATGTCACTTCCCTGTAGGAAAAGCTGAAAGCAATAATCTGAACAAAAATTATTGTTGTACTGCATGCTACATATTATATTTGATCAAAAGTTTTTCCACAAGTATTGGTTTGGTATAAAATAGTATTCTATTGTATGGTCTCAGGGAATAGTACATACGATGTCCCTTCAAAAGAGTATACAACTTTTCATTATTTATGGCAGAAATTGTTAAAATCTGAATGTTTCCCAGCACAAGGAAATATGCATTGCTCAGGTTGTTTGTTTTACAAGATCAGTTTTCCATGAATAAGACTTGGGTTTAATTTTGACGATCTTTAATGTATTTTCTTTATGTATGATTAGTCAGAGTGAAGTTATAACAAATTTTCAGTTTGATTGCAGTTTTAATTTAATTGTTTTATTCTTTCTATATCTTTTTAATTGTAGATAAAGTCGACAGCAGGGGGGAGAGGATATCGATGAGTGCGGATAGCATCACAGAGAACGGCGATGGGATCGATATCAAGAAGAGCCCATCATCGACGCCTACTACCGCAACCGTCAATTCCTCCATCACGCTCGCTACAGGCAGCAACGGCAGCACGAAATGAAAGGGAGATGTACAAATTCTAATAAACTCTGTGGGTGGTATTCTCGAAAAGAGACTAACTTTAGTCCATGGTTTAATCCACCGACTAAGTATCGAATGCCAAGTGTCCACATGAATATATTTTTGAATAGTTTAATCTGTCACTAAATTAAAATTAAATGTAATAACATAATTAATAAACAACAATAGAACTATGATATAATTATGTTATCATGGTAATTTAGGGACATATCAAATTATTCAAAAATATATTCATATGGACACTTGGCATTTCATACTTAGTCGGTGGATTAAACCATGAACTAAAGTTAGTCGGCTTTCGGGGATTACCACCCGATATCTGTTTTGTATATATATATATGAAATAATGAATTCACCCCCTCGACAATCACTATCCCCTTCTCTGACCACATTGTGAGTAGAGTGCTCAGTATTGATTTCCAACGAATGCAGTCAAGAGCAGACGTAAAGCACTGCACGGAGTAGAATTTATAATAGTGTAGCTTAGAGAGCGCTGCTTACAGGAATGGCATTCCAGCACAAGAGATGGCCTCGGGTATGGCATGATGCTTGTGCAAAATTATCCTACACTTTTGGATTGCCATTTTTTAAAAGAGCATGAAAGTCGTTTTTTTTTTTTTTAAAGGGCTCACAATTTAATAGAGAGAAAAACATGGGATAGAAGCTTATAAGTTATTAGGCATAGAGTATCTGAGTAGAAGAAATAGCTGAAGTAGTTTTAAGTTAGTTCATTATGTTGGACTTGGTAACCATCAGGGTTCGATGGTAATGAAATTTTAAGTAGGATTTTTTTTTTAAAGTTCAGTATCACCCAAGTGTGATATCCAGCCAATGTCAACATTTCAACGTATTGGTCTCTATGGGTGTTCAGAGGAAAAGGGATCTTCTAAAATCCAGGGTACACTGGTATGTTTGGGGGAAAAGGAGAATGTTTATGATAACAAGGAAATGCAACAGACCACCGATGAAATGAAAAGTGTGTTGTAGAGTAGGAAATCAAATTATATGTGAATTTTCATCCATTCAAAAAAGAAGAGACATATCTATATTTTAAGAATTATTACTGAATATATTCTGGTTACCCTGAATATCAAGTTTGGCAAAAAGATATATTTTGGAGTCGAGCAGAAACAGAAACAAGGGAGACATGAAATACCAAGTTTTATATTGAAGGTGGAAAATAAGAAGCACAGGAAGGCAACCATATTAAAATTAAATGAAAAATAAAGTTGACAATTTTCTGCAAATGCAGATATGACAGTATAATCATGCCAGTGTATAATGAAAATGACTCAGTTGCACTATCTGATTGTAGAAATAATGTCAAATGCATATCTCTGATATTTTAGGAATATATTACTCAAATAATCTATCATTTTTTTCTACAGTGCAATATCAGAGCCAGGGAGAAATATTCTGAATTGAATTTCAGGTCTGCACAATCAAAAAGTTGGACAAAGGTGTCCCTTTAGCATCATTAGGTTCTGTTATGTATGTTCATTAAGTTCAGTAAGAACTTGTTGTACGTACAAGAAAAGTACAGATTTTGCAATTTTAGTTGACAATATTTTCTTTGGATATTTCACAAATGATATTATTTAGCATTTGAAAATGTACATTAAAATAGCATACCTTTGAAATACAATTTTGAGATACAATGAATTTATTGGAAATCTATGCACTGTCCATTCTTTTCTCTTTTTAAAATATATTCATGTACATGTTGGCCAGATCCTGACATTTATGTTAACGTGTAAAAAAGAATGTACATGTAGATATGCACTTATTGAAAGAGAAATTACATAATTTTTGTAGATAATTTGTAATTAATGAAAAAGCAGCAGTCCTTTTCTACTTTAATTACCTGGTGATCTTTTTTTACACATTTCTTTTTAGATACATGTACAAGTAAAATGTTGCCTTCTTACAATGTAGGTATGTGTTAGTGGAGATAGATTCGACGGGAGTTAGTGATTATGTTTTACTTGGATGCAGTAATGTAACGTTTGTAAGAAAGTAGTTCTTTGCCACTTGAAACGGCCTTCCCTACGAACAGTAGTATGGTGGCATTATACTTGTACAGGTGCCTGTCTGAGAATTTTTCTAGCTAACTGTCAAAATGTCTTTCCCGGTATTCTTAAATACCTGTGTATCCGTTACGTTGAAGCAGTAGAGTGAATACTTTACACCTGTTTTTTGTTACTTTGATGTTACTTTGTATCATATGTTCTGTTGTGTGACATGTGCCGTTAACATTCCATTTAGACTTTACTCATGTGTATAAATTTAGCTTGCTATATCATGATGTATCTGGATTGAAATCTTCTAGTTTGGTTGAAATGCTATTGCCAAATTGAAATAATTAGTATTTCATATTGCTGTGTGAGTATATAGATTTTGGTTATTTATTATTCCCGGTGGTTAATTGTATGATTTTGTGTGTACATGTTGTTTCTTTTCTCAAAGATTTCTTATGATTCCAAATCTTCCACAAAAAAACAGTTGCAGTCATAAAATTATATACAAGAAGGTGAAAATCATAGTAGTATTTAATATCCAATAACCATGCCATGGCTCTGAAAAAAAAGATAAGATAATGGATATGGTTTTTAAATGAAGATGTTATTCTCTAATGTCTCTTTAAGTGTCCAAGTGACACAGATTCAGTTGAATCAATGATTTTACCTATTTTTTGTGTGACCCAGACCTAGTAGATGCACATGTACAAATGATTTTTGAACGTTTGGAGAGCACAGTGATATAAATGAAAAGAGAGTATGAAAAGTGATCAATCTGTAATTAAAAGAATTACACAATGCATGATAACCAGTAGTTTTAGTAGATATTTAGTTTTGTTATTATTTGCATTGGCAAGTGAATTTAAAACGTACAACTCAAGCCGTGGATTGGCCATACATTTCTTCTTCTCTAGTCTTTAATTACGTTGTCACACATTAAAAGGCTCAGGTACCATTCTTTTGTATGTAATGAAATAAAAAAAGTTCTTGAAGTTGTTAAATGTCAAACAAAGTTCAATTTTTAGATTTTGTTAAGTAATATTTTGAAGGCTTTAATTGATATGATTTGCTGAAGTTGAATGCATTTGTCGAGATGTACATCTAGTTTCTGATTTGATTTTTGTTAATATATTAGAGGTAAATTTAGAAAGTGAGATCAGTTGAGTTATCTTATGAAGGGTTTATCAATAATGCATGTTGGATTGTAATGTTTATTATGCCTTTTTCTCCACCTAAGGTGGTCCCATAGGCTTGTTTAATGCATGGTTATATGTTTTCTTTTCCTTAATTTGTATATTTATTGTTTTGATTGTAACATATTATTGACATGGTAAATTCTAAGACAGATTTTTACAACATCTTTCCTGTAAATCTTTGTGTACAGTGATAATATCTGGAATCGAACTTTGATTGCACCTATATTTGTAAAGACAATATTTTGTGAAGTTTGTTTGATGTGCATATTTATCAGATTTTTTTCTAATTCTATATGGTCTTGAATGAAAGATGTTGATAAAAGTGAAAATTAAAATGTTTTAGAATGATTAGATATTCATCTTATAGATATTTGTAATTACACACATTTTGTAAAGAAAGAAAAAAACTTGAAAATAAGGCATCAATCTTGCAGCACAATGTTTTAAAAGTCATCCTTTTTACATTCTTCACAAGATGCAAAATTATCTTAGTAATATTTTATTTCTTTATAGATAGAATTATCTTTTGCAATGCATATAATTCCTTTAAATTGTTTTTGTATGACGTTACTAAGGAAACACTTGGTTACTGATTAAATAGGAATTACAGAAATAATTTATCCTGTAAAGTATATGAATATAATTTCCAATCCATTTTTAAATATTTGTTTTGTTTTCAAGCTTGACTATATCGATCAGTTGTAAAACTATTTCATCTCTATTGATATATATATTTAATATAGTGATTTTTTTAAATCAATATTAGAAATACAGAAATGAAGAATATGATTTATAGGCCTACCTTGTTAAAAGTTACTTCAACACCAAGTGCTAAAAGCTCTAAAAACTGCTGTCCATAGTTTCCAAACTGTAACTGATGCTTCCTTTTGTTACACATAGTCACATTGATAATATGTATTCTGACACTGACAAAATTTGACTGTAAAATAAAAAAAGAAGAGCTTTTTCATATATTTCGAAATTATTCATTTCTTTTTATTTTCTTGAAATTTCATGTTCTCAGAAAATGGGATCTTATTACCTGACACTTACAAGATGTGTCTATGCAAATTTGGAATATACTCTCTCTTTATTTTTCAAGGAGATTGTTTTTTTTTATACACAAGAGACAGAAAGACTGCTTGGATTACTTTAAATATGGATATTTTTTGTTTTACTTTTTATGATGGATTTTTTTTTAAATCGTCCTTTTACTCCTATGGGCATTTTGCTGTAAACTGTAATCCAGTGAGGGGAAAATATGATAACGTCCATCAATACCAATTTTAGATCTTAATGTTTTGTTATGTATATATTTTCCTTTTAAGATATGCATCGCTTTTTTGTGTTTGATATGTGCAGTGATCCAACTTTAAAAAACAAAATCACTGTATTTCTGAGAAATAAAGAACACAAGCTCAACCTGATGACTCCAGCTTTGTTATTGTGTGTGTAACTAACCTTTGAGAATGCATAACTGTGTTTGCGGGGGAGGGGGGGGGGGGGGGTAATTTAGGTATCATTTCATTTGTAAAATACAAAAAGTTTTTGAATGAATGTAGAGTAAAATCAAATTTCCATCTTTTTCTTTTTTTCTTCATAATAGTAAAGCTGTTCCTCTTATAGGGGCACTTATATATGCTTAAGTGTGCAGTAGTTATATCAGGGATATGTACCTTTTTTTGCCAGGTAATAAATGAAAAATTTGATTCTTATGTAGGGGTAATGCCCTTACTGGGAATTATGGGAATAGCATTTCGGGATACAGCAGTTATGGCAAATGGTGATTAAATGAGGTAGAGGGTCATGTCATGAGCTTCTTTCCCTCTTCTCAAATTATTTTCACCGCTTAATTTAGACTGCTTTGAAAACTGAGAGGCTTCAGAAAGTGTTGATATCGTTTGTACTGTTTTGAATAAATCGGATAGATTTGACCTCCTTCACCGCCCCCCTACCCCCTCACCCCCACCCTCTCCCCCCTCACCCCCACCCTCACCCCCCCCCCCCTCACAACTATATAGCCAATCAAGCAAACATGCCTGCTTACATACTATTCTAATATGTTAAAAAAGAAAGAATCATTAAGCAAAAATGATGGAAGAACGTCATTGCAAAAAGTGTAACTTATTTGATAAAGGTGATGTATGCTACAGAATCTTTATCAATGATTTGAAACTTTCGGCTATCGCCTGGTAGCTTTCTCAAGACTATGAGGTGGCTGCTTATTACGCAATCGGGCTGAAATCGACTCTGAAATAATTGACGAATTTTTAAAGAAACCAACGCTACGCTCAAAGTTGCGAACAGTACATGAGGATTCTATTTAAACAGCATCGCGATGAAATATAGGCGGTAACTTCAGTTCTCTCATTTAGCAACACATGTTCGGTAGAGATGGCAGAGTCTGCTGAAAAACCAGATGTTAAGAAGTTGGCTGAAAAATTAGATCAGGATATTGATGAATTCATTGACAATCTCCCAAAGTCAAAATATAAAGATGGATTTTCGGAAGACAACTGGCAGGAGGTGCGTATTTGTTTAATTTTGCATGGTATGATGGTTAAGCTAAATGTACAGTCCCACCCGTTCATTTTACTGCTGGCATCATTGGGCATGGCTGTGCCTGTGCTGTTTTTTTTTCTTCTTCTTCTTTTTGGCATTCAGTCAAAGCATTTTATAGTACATATAAATGCGGACTACTCTTCCATTATGTAATTGTATATAGACCCTCGTTGCAGTTGATTGTCCTCGTTGCAGTTAAGAACTTAATAAGAGTGACATTGTGATGATCATCTGATCATCTGGTGAATTTTAATATTAGATCTAACGTTAGGTCTAATATTATTATTTTTTTCAAATCAATAAATGATGAAAATAAAAATTATGTTCGATCTGAACTTGAATGACGTTGGAGTGTTGATGAACAATGTTTAATGCCTGAGTCTTTACGGTTTTTGTGCTAAACGTTTAACCGTTAAAGGTATAGTCTATGGGTAGGGAGGCCAATGCCCGGGCGTAAGGCTTCTACGCCTACGATTTGTGCGCTCGTCGTCCAAGTCAGAAAATTACCAGAAGAAAAAAAAAGGGGAAAAAAAAGAAAACAAATATCTATGGAATAAAATGTATAACAAATACACAATTACACACTCCACAACATACCTATAATCACGGATCTGTAACAGTCTTTCACCCTTTGTTGACGATCTTGCAGATTTTGACGTATTTTGATCCAATAATTGCGCTAGCAGACGAAAATAACGGACGCACAAGAGAAACTAGAAGGGTCCTAGAGGGCGATGAGGTTAGCTCACTAAAATCCTTCTCAATGACTGAAGGTAGAGCCTAAAAATATGGAACCAATTTAATATCAAAGAACTTTTGATAGAGATTAACATATCAGTTGTGCACAAATGTCACTTTTAACAACTAGAAAATATAATGAAAAACGATCATATCTTTTTAATTGCAGATTTTTACAAACTGCACATACGAAGGTAGATAGAGTACGATGTTTTTGTCAATCTTGCGTTGGTTTGAGCCCCATAGCTAGAGCCATCTCAAATTGGGGTGGAAAACTGTGAACAGAGACATGATTGTTCGAGCCCCAAATTGAAGTCTTGCGACATCATTATATGAATATGTATGAGCTCCGGTCTCATCGCGCGCAAAAAAAATTTGACGTAGTCTCACACATAGTACCTTATTCTCAGCACTAGGTCAGTGTCGTGCAGTAATGTATGAGAAGTGTAAAAAAAGACATTTCAGTAAAAAAAAAAGTCTACGTGAGCAGTCTATACTCCAATTGAGAAGTGTAATGAATGCCATGATTTGAACGTGTGTGTTTTAGTGTATGATATCATCATATGGTTAGTGAGAGAGAGAGAGAGAGAGAGAGAGAGGGAGAGATATATCTCCGTCAGTACACGTCTATCAATGCGTGCAGTCCTATTGACTATGTTTGATTCCGTATTGTGTTCGCTGCAACTGTTGGATTTATCGATCGTATTGTGTTCGCTGCAACTGTTGGATTTTGCAGTGTCAGATTGATCTTTACTCATGAGGAAATAATTGGAATACATATCAAAACTAAGGTAGGCCTATTTATTTATTTCAATAATTTTCTTAATTTACAATGAGTGGTTTTCGAGCTTTCTCTTTTGACCCTCCATGGCGTGGCATGGCTAGCATGGCTCGATTGCGGCTTGCATGCAATTACCGTACCTGGACGGCCTGCAGTACTGTGTCGGTGTGTGCGACTAATTCAAGGCTAGCCGGTGATGATGAATGTACTTTCGCGCGAAGTTTTGAACTTGTTGTCCGGGCAATGACCATGATGACACGCCCATTCCCTCGGGCCTGTCTAATTCTCGACGTAATTTTTGGGACCATGAAATTGATTGTTTCAAGGCTCTTACGTACGGCCAGGCGTAGAAGGAAGCTCATAGGAACTAGCTGGATATCTCCTATTTTATGGAACTTCTGGAGTCAGTAGATGGGTGAGTTTTCTTAGTGAAAGAAAATGCTTTCTTTTAATGTTTGTTTTATTATAAACAAATCAGTAATTAAAAAGTTAGATTTGGGCATTGGCCTCCCTACTATGGGCGGTTTTGTTTAACCGTTTAATAATAATAGGGAGGCCAGTGCCCGGGCGTAAGGCTTCTACGCCTATGATTTATGCGCTCGTCGTCCAAGTCAGAAAGTTACCAGAAGACAAATTATATTGATATTGAGAGAGAGAGAGAGAGAGACTTGGGGACAAGGGATGTGAAAGGAACTGACTGAGACGTATTAAACCATTGAATGTGTAAATATTTAGAACTTTGCTTGTCTGAAAGTGCAGCAATAAGAAAAGGAACACAGAAAGAAGGGAATAGAGAGGGTGAGAAAAGAGAGAAGGGGGCATGGTTGTTTTCTTGTTTACAAATTCATTCATAGAGATTACTGCTGCCAGACACGGTTTCTTTGATTATCTTTATCATCGGCTATTAGCACATTCCAAAATGTATGCAAATAACGGTTAAACGTAGCGAGAAATGCTAAACGGTTTTGATGAATGCAGTCGTTTAACCGTCGGTTAAACGGTTTGACTCGGGTAGTCAGGCCTAGTTAATGATTACCGGTTTATTATATTTATTATTGCCATGTTATGATTAGTTAAATTGATGTAAATGGGCATGCAAATGGCAATATTTAAATTTATTAACAATTTATCTCATCCAACTTCTGCAATGCCAATGATCATGATGTATTGAATTTGATGATGGAAAAGTTTGTTTTCCTAGGGCAGTGCACTCCTAATAGTATAAAGCAAGGTTAACAAGGATGACATAAAAATAATCATAATAGTGGGTTCTAGTACAAGCAGTTTTTTTAGCGCTCGTGGTGCATTGCCACACCGAGCGCCCCTTTAATTTAAGTCTTTTTTGTTAAAAATCCAGAACTTCATGTGAAATGAATCAGTGCGCAGAAGTGGGCACCATTGTTTTTGCAACCTCAAATGACGAGGCCACCTTTCCTTGTGAAAATGACATACTTCAAAATGTAAAAATGTTCCTGCTGAAATTACATTCTGTACTTTCAATCTTGTTTGTGAGATTTGACAAGAAACCTTGTTCTCACTGATTTTCTGTTCTAGATACATGTACCTTGTTCTTACTGTTTTATTTGTTCCAATTATCACTTTAATAAATGCAAACAAAACTTAGAGAAGTACAAAATAAGCCCAGAATTGGAAGAATTGTTTATAAAAAAAGAATTGCCTACGGTAGACCAGGCTTCTTTGTTCAATGATGCAAATAGGGAGACCACTAGCCCTTCAATAAGTACAAATTTTACTGCTCAGATTCTAACCTCTATTTTTCAATCTTGTTTTATTATTGTGGCAGGAATTTGACAAGATACCGTTGTTTATGACCGAGGCTCCAGAGAATATAGAAGATTGTCCCCAGCTTGAAGCCCTTCAGCAAATCAAGTTTGCCTCCGAGGAGAGTACAAGAGAAGGTGAGCCCCTCTACTCTTATAATTTCTTCGATTTGTAAAGTTTAAAACAATCAAGTCAGGTATATAATGATAGATCAACTATCCCAACGACTATTAGGCCTGAACAAGAAAGATGTTGTATTGCCCTTTAGTTGCCAAAACATGGGTCGGTCTGTCCAAAATCTTTTTTTTATTTTTTAAACCCCCTCTTTGGGCTGATATTTCTCAGTTTTGAATGCTTTTATACCTTTTTTTTTTTAAAGCCAATCATAGATTTCAAGATTTTGGGGAAGGTCGCAAAGGGCAATACAACATCTTTTTTTTTAGGCCTCACTCTAGTCTTAAGAGAGCTATCCCCCAAAAGGGAATCTGAATGACCCGACGCGTGACCCTCTAAATTTGTATTTTCCTGTAGCTGATAGGGGGAATATTTTAAGGAGGTTATTATTTGGAGGTAAAAGGCAGTTGTCCAAAGTGGGAGGGGTAGATATTCAAGGGGGTAGGTGTCAAGGGTGGATGTTCAGGGTGGTAGTTGTCAAGGGTGGGGGGGGGGGGGCGAGGATGAATTTCCCTAGTGAGAAAAGTCCTGCAGCTCCTCATGAAGTTGAGTTCTGCACTCCTCAATACTTCTGTGACCAGGGGGTGTTCACAAAGATCCTCGGTTGAACTTACCTCTAAGTTGGAATTAACAATTATGGAAAGCCTTTAGCATATTTGAAAATATTTTGTAAAAGTAATTTTAAAAGGCATACAATGTTGATTCAAATCATTCATATTTTCTATTATCAAGAAGATTTTATGTTCTTGGTGGGCAATTTATATAAAGTCTAAAATACTGGAATTTTCGCTTTTGAATATATATATATATTCATTTTAACCTAGGCTACAAATGGCTCTCCATAATTTTCAAGTCCAACTTAGAGTTAAGTTTGACTTAGGATCTTTGTGAGACACCCCCCTGCTCACAAACTTTTTTCTATCTTGAGCTGTCCTTCCCTTTTCCCTTCTCTTGCAATTGCTTTCCCATGTGTGTAAGTGAGTTCTTGTGATATCAACAGCCCTTTCACCTTACGCTACCCGCTACCATACATTATTCTCAGCTTTCACTTGAGAATAATTTTCCTCCATTTGATCTATAGATGATGCCCTGATGCACAAAGATGATGGTAACCAGTGGTTTAAGAAGAAGATGTACAAACAGGCAGTCAAGGCTTACGCTGAAGGTATCAAACAGAAGTGTGCCGACAAAGACATCAACGCTGTCCTCTACACTAACCGTGCTGCAGCTCACTTTCATCTCGGTAAATATTCAATTATTGTGATTTCATGCAATTGCCTTTGAAAGTAGATTAGTTTGCGGCATTATTTTAACCGTATTTCAAATTCTAAATGGAATATACCACACAGGGACTCTGTTTATTCATCTACTAACAAACATTTAAAATTATTAAATATACAAAACATAAATTGTACCCATCAAATTCTAAAAAATATTATATACTCAGCCCAATATTTAGACTTGAAGTGAAAATATTACAGAAATTAAAGAAAATATTTCGCAGCTTCTGTGCTTAGTCTCTATTTTTATATTTATATAATTTTTACATGTTTTTTATTCATGGTATATTCTTTCATCTTTTACTACTCTACAGGAAATCACAGATCTTCACTAAATGACGCCAAGGAGGCATTGAACCTCAAACCTGACCATGTAAAGGCCGTCAATCGAGCCATTGACTCCTGCATGCAACTCAAAGAATATGGAGAAGCTGTTCAATGGTGTGACAAGGGACTCCAAATATCCTTTTTTTGTCAAATTTGTATCAAATATTTTTTATGCCTCATTGTGTTGTGTCTTGCTTCTTCAAGTTGCTGTATGCTAGAAAGAATTACTTTTGTGGGTTATTTCTCAGATTGGTATATATTTTAATTGCTAAAATTCTTAGTCATGATAACTTGATAAGTCATGATAAATGGAACCAGGGTTTCATAAGTACTTAACTTTATTAATGAAATGCATGGAAGGTAAAACTTATTTTTACTTTGTCTACATACATGTTTCTGAAGGAATATTTTAGTTTCAAACTTTGGGGCTTTCGTGAATAGTAATGCTAAATAGATTAATGGGTGTGTTGTGCAGGTTTCCATAGCTTGAAAAGCTTAAATATTTACTAACCCATCTAAAGAAATGTCATGAGAGATGTTAAAGGTAATCCTTAACCTTATGAATACATGCAACCCAGTGATAAGAAGATTCTGGATCTGAGGGTACAATCAGCAAAACTCAAGGTAAGAAAGTGCTGATTTAAAATTAAAAAAAATCATCTTTTCCAATATCAAATGAGTAGTATGAGCATTATATTTATTCAGCTTTGATTTCAGGATATTTGTGTAGTCATGAATTTCATCAACAACTCTGTTGAAGGAATTGAATATGTTCTCCACTGCAAATTATGCATGCTCCTTTTGTTATTATATATATATATATATACTTTTTTTTTGGGGGGGGGGGGAAGGGTGGTCTAAACATTATATACAGACTTCAACTGAACCTGATTAAAGAGTCATTGATTATGCAGTTAGATTAATTGTACCTTTTTGTTATACTCATCTGTACCATTTCAATTGTTAGGCTATTGGCCCTTCATTCTTTCTTTTTAAAGGGGCATGTTTCCCGTATTCCAGAGGGCGTTAAAAATACGTACGTACTGGCGGCCGTTGCTATAGCTGCCTATAGTATTGACACCAACATAATACGGCTCTTCCGCAGATGGCATGTTCCGATAACTACACTGGTGGGAACGTGCCCCTTTAAGTTGCATCTTTTTTGTTTGTCCTCATGAGATGACCTTTGTTTTTTCTATGGTAGAAATCAGCTGACAAAGAGAAGAGGAAAAAGCAGCTAGAGGAGAAAAAGCAGAGAGCT